GGACCAGCAGCGATAGGGGATCCCCGTGAGTATCTGTGGCCAGCCAGCTGGGTGAGTTCGGCCAGATTCCATCCAGCTCTGGGGGTGCCCTCGAGGTTACAGGACCTCTTCCACCAGAGCTGCAGAGGAGAAAGTTGCGGGGGCACCCTGGTAGACGTGACCTTGGATGTGGGCCCCAGATGAGGTGGATCTCAGCAGGTGGAGATGGACACCCAGGAAGAGGGCACAGCTGTGGTCGAGGCTTGGAGGCCTGCAGGCTGTGATGTGCGAGTCACAGGGGCCTCCGACCAGCCAGGCCAGTGGTTTCCAGTCACCCGGGCAGTGTGTTAATAGATTCCTGGGTCTTACCTCTGGACAGCGTGATTGTGCAGATCTGGGTCACGGAGGCCTCGAATGCTGCAAGAAGTCTGGGCTCGATTTGGGTGGCCATGGGGAGCCACAAGCTTTACTGGGCAGCCACACTCCATGATCTAATGCCCGCAACACTCTCAGAACAGTGTCTGGCACATAGTGAGCGCTCAATACGTGTTAATACCCATGTTGTCGTCATTGTTAGTAGCTATTCCTGAACCAGGGGCCTGGGCCAGTGGATTCTGAAGACCTCCTGGGTGACTCTGAGCCCTAGCCAGAGTTGACAACCACTGGGCCATGACATTAGCTCCTGGAGTCCAGACACCGTCCCGTGGTCTCTACGGCCCCAGCCCAGGACTTGGTAGGAGATCGATAAGTGCTTGTGAGATCAGGCTGCAGGAGGGATGCTGGGTGGGCCGGGAGAGGCTGGAGGCGGGGAGCTCAGGGAGGAGGCCAGGTGGTGAAGAAGAGAGAGAATCACTGGGGCCCATTCATGGGGCCGAGGGAGGCGAGGGGATGTCATGGCTGACTCCCAGGTGTCTGGGTGGTGCCACGGTGCTGCTCAGGAATGGGGACCAGGGGGTGGAGCTGTGGAATCAGAGTCCCGGTGGCTGGAAAGACCCTGAGGGATGAGAGAGTCTGTGGGGCTGAGCCACCACGAGGTGGTTGGTTTCATGGGAGAGATGGAGGTGGGGACATTGAGTTGGGGAGGGTAGAGAACTCTTTAAGAACTTCAACTGTGAAGGGTGGAGAGGGAAGGAGTGGCTGGCAGAGGGGACAAATCAGGATTGTTTTCACCACCAGGATGGGAGAGAGGGGAGCACGTTTGTGGGCTGACGTGCAGGAGATGGAAGTGAGGGAGGTGCTGGGAGTTCGACCTCGTGCCAGGGGCTGACCCAGGGCAAGACCCCTGGGAGGCAAGAGGGACAGCTGGCCTTGGACAGGGGGGCCCTCCCTTGGGGGCTTGGGAGGCTGTAACTGGGGTCAATGGATGAGAAAGTTCAGATGCTACTGCTGTTCCAGAATGTTTTCTTGGCCCGGAAGGGAGGACCCTGTGGGCAGAGGGTGATCCTGGCCGTGGATTTTGGGTGACTGACTGGTGAGGCCTGAGTTGGGAGCCGTGGCCGTGGGAGGCCTGGGGCCTGCGTGTGGGGTGGGAGCCCCACCTTGCATGCCACGGGCTGGTGGGGCTGGCAAAGTGGGCTTGGCCTGAGCTGTAGGAGGCTGCTCCTGGGCGTGAGGCCCGTCCTATGACCCACCAAACCTCAGCCTCCAGGAAAGAGGCTAAAAATAAGGCTGTGGTGAAGAAGGGAGGGGGTGTGTGGGCCCAAGCCAGGCTGGAGCCCAGAGGAAAATCTGAGATGAGCGGCCGAGCTGCTGTGACACAAGCTTCCCGTGCCAGCGGGATTTCACCCGCCTGCGGCCACGGCCCCTGCCAGGCCTACAAGAGGGAAAACAACCTAGAAAGGCTCAGGCAGGGCCTGACCTAGGGCCTTACGGCCTGCATGAGGCCTGCTCCCTGCTCTTCTGCCTGGAGCTTAGGCCTTGGACCCTAAGCCGGGCCCCAGGGGGTGCTGGGGTGGGGTCATCCAAAGCTTCTTGTGCCTTGGGGTCTAGACTGCCCAGGAGTTCCCAGGGGCCCTGGATGCCACTCTGGACATGGAAAAATGTTCCTCCCCCTTACCAGGAGCTCTGCACAGTAGAGGAGATCAGGGGAGGCTTCCTGGAGGCAGAGGCAAACGTTGGGCCTTGGAGTATGGGAGGGGGACCAAGTTCACTCAGGTGGCTAGAGGACTCTGGGAGTCCTCAGGGAAGAAGCAAGAGTGTTTTGATTTGCTGTGGACACATGCCATCTTCACGATGACCAGTTTGATATGGCCTCCCTCCCAGAAAGTGAGCCTACGGTTCCTGCAGATCCACGCCCTCCTCTCAACTGTGGGTGGGGACCCACTGTGTGGGGCCCAGTGGGAGTTTTACCTTCCTGCTACCTCCCGACTCCACCCGTCCTTACCCAACTCCTAAACCATGGCAGTCCCTGTTCTGGGTCCTGGAGATGACCTGCCAGGCCCCGGCCCTTGAGGGGCTCATGGTCTGGTGGGGGATGGAGCGGACACTTGCCCATCTGTTTATGTGTCCACTCCACAGTCACTGTGGGGGGCCGGGTGCTGGGCCCGGCTGGGGGCCGAGAGCAGACTGTGCAGAGGCACTGCAGCAGAAGCTTTGGTTCAGGGCGACAGACCTGCTTTCAGATCTCACCTCTGACATCTTATGTGCTGTGTGACAAGTTATTTCACTTCTCAGAGCCTCGGTTTTCTCATATGTAAAATGGGGATGATGATCATAGATACCGGCATAGGCGGCAGGGATAGAAATGCCATCATAGAGCCTCACGCAGGACCTGGAACTTAGCAGAACCAGTAACTGGTAGCTCTTAGCTCCCGGCCACAGTGGGTCCAAGGGTCTCATATCTACATCCCTATGTGTCTTCCCCTTAGAACTAACTAATCCTGGTGTGACAAGTGCTAAAACAAGGGTGGCCAGGGAAGAATGGGGGCAACTAATTTATTGAGGGTGGTGGGAGGGGGGTAAATCAGGGAAGACATCCCAGAAGAGGAGGCATCTGAATTAGTCTTGAAGGAGTGGCAGGAATTAGCACAGCCAGCAGAGTTGTGCCAGGGTAGAAGAGGAAGCGTATGCAGTCGGGGGGCCATGAGTAGTTTGGGGTGGCTGGAATATGGGGGAGGGGTGGTGTCCTGAGAATTGGGGCTGGAGGGTGGGGTTGGCAGGGCTGAACCTGCAGCCCTGTGGCCTGGTGAAGGGCCTGGGTCCTCCCCTGAGGCACTGGGGAGCTGCTGGTCATGGTGACTATTCGAGAGAGGGATGTGATCAGACCCACGCATCAGGAGGGGAGCAGAGGCCCTGGCTCAGGAGTGGGAATGGGCTGTGGGGCTGGGAGGGGGCTGTGGGTGGCTCCTCAAGGTTGGGCCCAGCCATGCCACCCATAGGCCCTGACGGAACTCTGGGCCTCAGAGGCCAGGTTGGGGCACCTCAGAGGTTCCACTTGGTGGCCATGCCATTCACAGACCTAGGACTGGCCCCTGGCTTCCGCCTTCAAGGCAAGACCACAACCCGCCTTGGTTATTAAGTCATTAACTGGGCCTCACTCAGCCTCTTCATTATGGGTAATTATGGTAAATCCACTTTGGGCATTAACAAGGAGGCAGCCAGCTTCTCTTGGCTGTCAGGCTGCGGGGACACAGCCGGTCTGACTCTGCATCCTGGGACATAGCTCAATGTTCTGGCCCTGGGTCTCGAGAGGGACAGTGATGCTCCACTCTGCCCCCTTCCATGCCCCCAGCCACCAGACGGGACCTCCATACAGTGCTTGGAGATTCCCTCTTCCCCCACTTTCCTGTTGTATGACTTTGAACACATGGCTTAACCTCCTGTGCCTCAGTTTCCTCATCTGTCCAGTGGGATAGTTGTGCCAGCTTCCTAGGATTGTGTGAGGATTAACCTAGGAAAGCACTTATAGTTCAGTGATGCGAACCATCATCATTTTCAATGCTGACATCACCATCATCACCGTGAAGAGCCCTGGGAGTCCCCCGAAGGCAGGGTCCAGTCCCTTTGTCTGGCCCCTATATGGGGAGCTGCTGAGGCAAGCCCTGTCTCCTCCTCCTTTCTCCTCTGTCCCCTCTCCAGGCACGTGTGTGGTGGTCGGGGGGCTCTGGCCTGTGGCCCAGCCTCCTGCTGTCCTTAGAGATAAGCTGAGGCGGGGCCCCTGGGGCCTGCGGGGCTGGGGCTTGTGTTTACTTAGGAGCCCTGGTTGAATGCTACAAGGGGGTCCAGGAGTCTGGCTCTGTCTGTCCACAGCTGCCGGTGGTTTCTAGATGTTCTAGTTGCCCCCTTGACATGCAACGCCCTGACGGGAGAGCAGAGGGGGCTGGGACTTGGGAGAAGGGCAGACATGGCCTCAAGAGATCCCCTTCCCCCAAGAAAGCAGGCCTGGAGCCCCGCCTGATTCCCTCTGCACCTCAGCTCCTGCACTGGAAAACTGAGGGTCCTGGTTATCAGGCTGAGGACAGCTGAGTGAGCATGTGTGTTTGCGTGTGTGTGCACGGGTGCTCATGCAGGTGAGCAGGGGTGAGCGTTGCCCACGAGCCCCCTCTGCCCTCTCCTTGGCCAGAGGGCTGCCCCTGCAGCTTTCAGTGGCTGCCCACCTGCGCTCTGGGCTGTGGGCTCTGTGGTCTCCCCTGAGGGCGGGGCCCATGTCTATTCAGGTCCCAGCAGCAAGTCTGGGGCTGGGCCACAGGTGGGCGAGAGGCCCCGGCAGTCAGATAGGAGGCTTGGCTGAGTGACCCCCGAGGGGCCTTGCCTCGGACCCCTGCAGTGGCTGAGTGAGGGGTGGGATCCTATGCCCAGGGTGAGCACGGGAGGCCCAGTGCGGGCAGGATGGAAGCTGGCCTCCAAGGTCCCCCGTGGCCTGGCTAAACTGGGGAGGGTGGAGTTCTCTAGATAGGGCCAGGCAGGGCCCTGCAGGGTGAAAAGAGGGCTGAGCTGGGACTGGGAGTCACCCAGGTGGGTGGGGGAGTGTGGGCACTGGGCATCAGACGTCACTGGTAAGCACCCTCTGTCTGCCCCTCCAGGCGTCCTTCTGGACATTCAGCAGCACTTCGGGGTCAAGGACCGAGGCGCCGGCTTGCTGCAGTCAGGTGAGGCCCCCCTCCCGCCCTCGCCCCTGCCCTGGCCTCCACCCTGCTGGCTCATTCCCAGCTGGGCTCTTCCCCGGTCCTGACTTGCTGGAAAGAGCCTGGGCTTTGCGTCCAGATGCCACTGTTGCCACTCACCAAGCCATCACTTCTTCCAGCCTCTGCTTCTCTTCTTGTCAAACAAGACAAATAACACCCGCCCCGAGGGGCTGTGGGAGATAGATGAGTGCAGGCCGAGGGCCCCAGTCCTTGGAGATGACCCTTCTTTTGGGTCTGGGGGCCTCCTCGGGACCCAGTGATCCATGGTCCCTCCTGAGGCTGGTTGGTGAAGGGAACGCCTTAGGTCAGTTAGTTGGGCAATGTCAATAGAACCTTGGTGATCCTGTTTCCATATCCTCCCCTGCTCCCAATTCCTTCCATTGCCACCAACTTGGAAGTCACCTCTTAGATGTCAAAGCAGGACACTCCCCCTGGTCAGCCCCAGAGCCGGTCCCAAACTCAGGAGCCTGAGAACCTGGATCCTGGGCTAGTCCTGGGCCTGAGGTTCTCTGCCCTGACCAGCAGGGAGCCAGGGCCCAGGGCCCCTGGGACTGGGCAGTGTGGCAGGTCATTAAGCAGCTATCCCAGCCTATCTGCCTCTCTCTCCAGGGTCCACATCTCCCTTGTCCCTGCCCTGCCTGCTACATGGCCCCATAGAACCTGAGCTCCCGGCTCCCTGGCCCTCCCATTGGCTATGGCCATGCTGGCCGTGCCTCAGCAGGACCCTCAGGCCTGGGCAGAGACTCAGAGCTAGCGCTGCATCCCACGGCTGGTCCTGACCCGGCCCCAACCTTGCTGCGTGGCTGGTTCCCTTGGCCTTGGAGTCTACTTGGCTGTGAGGCCCAGTCAGATGAGTGGGAGAAAGTTCGTGGTCTGCATTCCAGTCCGTGCACCCCTTCCCCTGCCCGGCTCTCTGGGGAGGGAGGCATGGAGCAAGCGGCTCTGTCCAGGAACCTGCCTGACCTGTCTAGGTGGCATTCCAGTATGCATAGTGCCAGGCCTCCACAGCTTCCGTGAGCTCAGGGAATGCCACAGCCACTCCGTCAGGCTTGGTGCCTGTCCTCATGTCCCAGATGGTGTCTTTGGGGCTCAGAGAGAGGGGGTGTGATAGCCCCAGGTCTCAGCCCTAACACATGAGGGTTGACCGAGCTAGGACTGGGGCAAGGCTGTGCGGTCCAGCACCTCCTAAGGGTGGCCAGGTCCCTGCCCCTGCAGACGTTACCTCCCCCCAGGACATGAGTCCAAGTCCCTCCCTGACCCCTCCACCCTTGCTGGGCCTTTCTGGCCAGGCCAGAGCAAGTCAGCCTGCCCCAGGGCCTGGGACAGGTCCTTCTAGCCTCCTGGGCTCTGCGTAATGCAGTGACCAGCACTCGCAGCCAGGAAGACAGAGCTCAAGCCAGATGGGAGCGTGGGAGGGAGCAGGCTGCTGGGCTAGTGTGGGAAGGGCGGGGGAGAGCCTAGCTGCCCAGCCCCTCCCTCCATGGCCCCTGAGTCACTGGGGACCCGGCCCGAGCCTCATCTCCTCCTGGTCTTGGCCTTGCTGACTGATCTGAGCCAGGCTCTGCCCCAGCCTCCTCCATTCAGCCCTCCTTAAGTGTGGTCAGGGCCAGGGCAGCCACCCAGGGAGAGGGTGGAAGGGCTGTGAGGGTCACAGCGCTGCTGCAGTTATGTCCCAGGCTGCCTTCTTGGCTAAGGGTCATGCAGTCCCTGCTGATCCCTGGTGACCTGGCTGGAGGTGGACAAATTACCCACGGGCATCATCTTGTTTGATTCTTCCTCCTACGAGCTCCCTTTTGTCAGCTTCACTTTCTGGATGAAGGGACAGAGGTCCAGAGAGGGGAAATGACTTGCTTAAGGTCCCATGGCGAGAGAGTGGCAGGACTGGAATTGGGGCTCTGTCTGCTGTCCTCTTGGCTTGGGGAGGAGGCACAGATGGCCAAGGGACTGGTGAGGCTTGTCCCCAGTGTCTGAGAGTCTCACATCTCAGTGTCCTCAGGGTAGGTGCCTCTGGGCCATGCTGAGAGTCCCCAGCACTCTCAGAGACCCTCTGGTCCCTACCCCATGGCCCTCGCCCTGCTACCTCCCCCTGGCACAGCTGGGATGGCTCCCGAGTGTCCTCACTCCTTCAGCCATCTCAGCCAAGAAACCAGGCGAGCTAGACCAGGATGTGACTCAGTGGGCAACCAGGCAAATCACCTAATTGGCCTGGGCCCCGGGCACCTGTCTCTTCCCCAAGCCCCGATAAGGTTGGAGCCAGGTGGAGGGCGCCAGCCAGGTGTTGGTGCTTGCCCAGATCAAAGGGCCAGGGCTGAGAGCCGGGTTGCCTGCTTATTTGTGGGCACCAGGGGCTGCTGGGCCAGGAGGCAGGGTGGGGGGTGGCTGAGGGTTAGGCCCACACCTGCCCCTGCTGTCTCCCCTTGGGACCGGAGCATGAGAGCTGGCTTAGAAAGAGCCTACTTTCGGCAGCCCCCTTGCAGGTTGCTGCCAGCTCAGAGCTGGCCCCTGAGTCCCCAGCAGCAGCCATAGCTGAGCGAAAGCCCATGGCAGAGTTACAGCCCTTGGGTCTCACTGTTTTGGGAGATCAGGAGCCCCCATGGCCTATACCCAAAGGGGCGGCTAACGCTGAACCTGCTGCTTGGCAGGCCCTGTGCTGGGCTCTGCCATGAACTCAGTCTCTGCACTCAGGTAGACTCCCTCTATCGATGGGAACAGAAAACGTATCCAGTCCCCACCCAGGCAGGGAGGGAGCCTGGGGGGATGGCAGCGAGTGGGCACCTAGCTCTGCCTGGTGGCAGGTGGAGAAGACTTCCCTGAGGAGGGGACATTTGAGTGGGGTTTTGAAGGATGAGTTAGAGTTTGTTCAGGGGCAAGGACTTCCAGTCAGTTTGTCAGTAGATGTGAGAAGCTCTCCTTCCCCCTCCAAGCTGGATAAAATATACCAACATTTAAATTATATAGCTGAGCTTGAAAGCTAAAGCTAGCAGGGAAATTTCCAGGTGCCAGAAGCAAAGAGTTGAACTCACAAACAGGAACGGGAGCTGGTACTGAAGCCAAGTGGTATAGTCTTTGGGGACCAGGATATGTCTTAGAAGCTTGTTGCAGTATTTTTAATGTAAACATTTTTATGAAAGAATTTAAATCCACATGAAAAGTAGAGAGAGAATAGTACAACGAATCTGCACATGCCCATCACCCAGATTTATCAGAGCGTCAGCAGTCTGGCCCAGTTTCCAAGCTCAGGGGTTTTTTTGCCCTGAGCATTGGGCAGTGCCGGCGAGGGTTCTAATGTTGCCTGGGTGACTCAGTTTCCACCCAGAGCCCAGAGCAAGCTCCCTGATTTCACGCTGTGCCCCCAGGCCGGTGGGCAGTTTTTCCATTCTTGGAAGGATATTTTCCTTCCTGGCTTTCTGCAGAGAGCTCGTCTAGCTCCTGCTTTGCACAGGCCTGGGACTGCCACCCCCTTCTCCATGTAGGCCAGTGTTGGCAGGGACCCCAGCAGGGGCAAATCCAAAACTGCTCCTTAGGTATGTCTTCACGGCCCAGGGCCTGCATGGGACACGGATGACACTGAAGACAAACTCAAATTCCAAATGAGCAGAGCACACAGGAAAGCCCACCTTTGTGGGACGGAGTCAACCGGGCCAGAGAAGGTAGGAAAACCAGCTCCTGAAGAACTACAGAGAACAGACTTGTCTTAAAGGGGCTTAACATTGGGTATGCTTAATTTTCAAAGCTTGACAGGAAAGAGTAGAATTTATAAGGCAGGAATAACACATTATTAAAAAAGAACAGGGGGCTGTTTAAAAGACCTAAATTCAAAATTCCAGAAGTAAAAAATATAAGTATTCAAATTAAAAAATGTAATAATTAGATCAGTTAATTAGACTGGACCCAGTTGAAGAGAAAAAGAGCAAATTAGAAGATGGATGTGAGGAAATCGGCATAAACGCAGGTTAGGGAAAGCAGCGAGTAGGGGTGAAGGCTCTTTGTGGTGCTGCCTGGCTCTGGTGACTCGTGGTTCATCGGCTGTGGGCTAGAGTGTGGGGAGAATTGAGTTAGAGGAGGCTGCACAGCAGGCAGGACCTGACTGTGAGAGGCGTCTGGATTTTGTCTTGGGGCAGTGGGGAGCCACAGCAGGTTTTGGAGCAGGGCAGGTCCCTATAAGACATGTGCATCAGGGCGTTCACTCTGGGGCTCAGTGGGGGAATGGATGGCGGAGGAGGCTGGAAGGCAGCTCAGGGCTGGGGTTTGTGGGGTCATGAGGAAGTGCCAGGCTGGGGGGTGGGAGAGGAGAGTGGGGACAGAGGAAGAGCCAGCTCAGACTGAAACCAGACAGTGCCTCTGCTTTGGGGCTGAGTCTCCTTCTGGCCTTGCTCCCTGTCCACTTTGGCCAGCCCAGCGACGTTCTCCCGCTTCGGCAAAGGCTCGGGTTCCGAAGGCAAAGCTGGGCAGCCCCTGTGGCTCTCCCCGCAGGGCCCTCCTGTCAGAAGGGAGGCCCAAGAACCTCTCTCCCCCTGAGGCCTGATGGGCCACCCCAGGGCTGACGTCCTGTGCGGGGTGTGAAGGAGGAGCGGTTTCTGTTCTTCCTGCAGGAAGTCTGAGTGTGGTGGGCTTTCAGGCACCGGTGGGGCCAGGCCATCCTGGGTCCTCGCCGTCGTCTTGGCTGGCCTGGGCTGCCATCCTCCACATCCTGTGGGCAGGGAGGGTACTCAGCAGAGCCTGACCCCTGCCTGCCCCATGCCTGCCTGAGCACCCTCCCTGCCCACAGGATGTGGAGGATGGCAAGTCTTCTCCAAATAATAGGTCGGCCGGATCTGGACTCTGTAAAAATAGCGCTGGTTCAGCCCAGGCCGAGGTGGGGGCTGGACGTGGGCTCTAAGGCCACAGTGTGGGATCCCAGGGCACCCCAGCTCCGACCTCGCCTGCTCCTGCTCCCGGACCACCTCTAGGCTCCACAGCTTCACAGATGGGGGGCCTTGGGGCCGCCTGCCAAGGCACAGAGCCCTGAGCGGGGGTTGTTCTGAGCTTCTGGGTGCTGGCCCCTCTGTGGGGCCCCAGGGGAGAAGGTCTTCAGGCAGCACGCTGAGCCCTGGGACCTCCATGAGAGTGGACAGCACCTTGGGGAGGTTGTCCAAGCCCTAGGAGGAGGGGGCATCGCCTGTCTTACAGAAAGTTGAGGCTCAGGCCCAGGTTCTCGTGGACAGCCAGGGGCTCTGCTCCTCCCGCCCTGCTGTCCGTCCGGCCCTGCCCCCCCTGCCCTGGCTCCCTGCCTGCGGCTCCATTGTCCCAGACCTGTGGGCTCAGCACACGTGAGCTGCCCGAGGGCTTCCCCACACCCCGACCACAGGATGTCCTCGTGCGGGAGTTGCTGGGAAAGCCGCCCCTACTGAGATGGGGTGGGGCGGCTGGGCTGCCCAGAAAGCTCTCCTCAAACAAACAAAGACTATGGGGTTGGGGCTGGTGGGCCCGGGAAGCTTCTAGCTAGCTGGTCTTTATTTTCAGCGGAGCTGCCTGCTGGCGGAGTAAGCCGCTGCACCCGCGTCTGGGACAAAGTTGACACGTCCAGGCCTTTGCCTGTGCTGTTCCTTCTGCCAGGAACACTTCCCCTCTTGGCCCTGCCTGATTGTGTTCAGGCTCCTCCCTGGCCTGTGACGTCCTGGAGGGCCAGGAGGAATCCTCCCTCTTGTTTGCCCCAAGCAGAGGGAGAGCTGCAAAGGTGAATGTGTCTCCCTCTTGACCCTGGACTCCCTTGTCCCCACGGGGAAGGCACTGAGGGGCAGGCAGTGGTTCGGTGTCCCTGCCTGACTCGCTGTGTCCTCTCGGGCTCATGGCCCCAGCTGTGAAGGGGCAGACGCGGTGAAGTGCAGGTGGGTGCTTGGGAACTGTCAGCAGGCTGGGACCGGGGGGTGGGGACAGGCGTGAACCACCTCGACAGGAGCCCAGCCATAGTCTGGATGCCTCTGCCCACCCAAACGAGCCGGCAGTCCGCCAGGGGAAAGGAGCCAGCAGGGGCCGCCTTCCTGCTCCGCTGCAGGCAGGGGGTGGGGATGCACCAGGACGGCCAAGGTCTGGCTAAGGCCTGGGTCACCTCCTTCAGCCCCTCTCCACCCACACAGTGGGGCTTTTCCAGTGCTGCTCCTTGAAGAGGGAGAACAGAACATGCTGGGGTTCTCCACAGCCCTCTAACTAAATGCCAAACCTGGTCCTGGTGTGTAGAGCCCAGTCTCTCTGTGAGGCCCATCTCCCACTGCTCCCTCCATAGCCTTCCCAGGCTGCAGCCTGCCACTTCTGGCTATCAACAAACCCTGAACTTTCCTTGACCTTGGGAACATCAGCTGGGACCTTCCGTCTTCCCAGCCTGGCAGTCTGTAGTGTGATTTAGAGCAAGGGCTCTGGAGTCAGACAAATTGGGGTTTAAATTCTGGCTCTACCACATGCTAGCTGTGTGACATCACTCTTTCAGCCTCTGTTGTCTCCTCTGTAAGGTGAAGATAATCTGTACTTATGTCCAGGGTGCATTCCTGGGCGTTGCCTATGATAAGTCCTCCACAATGATAACTGCAGGTATTATTAACAATAAGACTTAGACCTCATTAACCATTATACTGTATTGCTTATTTGTAATTTATATTTTAGTACATATTCTTGAGTTTAAGTATTATCATCATGGTAAACTCCTATGCATCCTTCAATACCCAGCTCTGACATCACTGCCTCCATGAAGCCTCCCTTCACTATTCTGGGAGGAGCTGACCCTCCTTACTGGTTCCCTGGCATTTTAAGGAACTGGGAAACCCATGGATGGGGTTTGCCCCCTGACCAGACAGGGGACAATTCCTACTCTGATTCTTTCTGCCCACTTGCCACCTAGCACAGATATGCACGGAGGGAACAATTCTTCCTCCTCCTGCTAACATGCATAAGTCCTGATGAGACCGAAGTCTCTTTCCTGTCCATATTCTGATCTGATCTCAGGCAGGTCCTGGGAGGCAGGCCCAGGCAGAAAAATTCTTTTTCTAGATATGAGGAAATAAGTTCTGCTTTGACTAATCTAAACAAGGGCCCAGTATGGACGGAGGCCAGTCCACTCTGGGCAGGGTATGGCATTAAGTACCTTACAAGCTTTATCTTACCCGGTGCTCAGAGCAACTGGGGGGGGAGTGTTGCTATTTTTATCTTCATTTTACAGATGAGGAAGTCGGCACGCCAGAGCTGGCTCAGCCTGGCTCAGGAGAGTCAATTGTTAAATTTTCAGGAATTGTGTGAGTGGGTTGTTAAACACAACCATTATTAAAAATTAAACTATGGAAACTTAAAATTAAACAATTTATATTAAAAACAAAGGTGATAAATACTTAACAGTCATCACTCTGTAATTATTTGACTATGTTTTATTATTATCTCTGTTCTTAAGGTGATTTACGTCAATCACATCTTTGTGGTAGAATACTCTGTAGACAATGCCGTGTGACTGCTCTTCTCTTCCCGACTCTGATCAGTGACATCACACGGAAATCAGCCGTGGTGGGAGTATTTACCCATGAAAATTGGCAAACACTACACATCGGGGCTTCCTCCCCTACCCCTTGTTCAGAGAGCCAGTTATTAAACATTTATCAGCATACCACTGAACTGAGGCACAGAGAGGTTGTTGACCTGCCTGAGGTCGCCCAGCTGGGAAGGAACAGAGCTGAATTCGAGCCCAGGCAGTGTGTGTCTGGTGCCCAGATTCACGCACCCCTGTACTGATTCTCCCCGAGGACCCGGGCACAGAGTCAGGATTAACAGGTTCCCCTCACACCCATAGGTGCTCGCTGTCCCGATCACTAGGGTAAGAGAGAGACAGTCATGTTCCTCCGCCCGGCCCTCTCTCCCCGATTGTTCGCTTCCTTCCCTCCTTCCTCCCTCCCTCCTCCTCTTCTCCTGTTCCTCCTCTCCAGGGACTCGGGTCTGTGAGGTAGCAGCAGAGCCTAGGCGCACATTCGGCCTGGCGGTCAGAGGCCAGCCAACTGGCCACGTTGTCTGCCACCCCTGGGCTTTGTCTGGCCATCTGCCTGTCAGCTGTGGGACTGCCTTTTAGGGGGAAGAGGGGGGCTGCCTCGCTGCATGACCTAGGGCCTATCCTGCCTTGCTGGCCTCCTCATCCCACCTGGGACCTCCAAGGCCCCTCCCTTCACTGGCAGTGGCATCCCCATGGAGTCCTCTAAGGCTTTGCTGCGCTCTTGTTCTCGAAGAACAAAACCAGGTCATATCACCCTCTGCTCAGCATCCTCCGGCGTTTTCCTTTCTGGCCCATAGAAGCCACAGTTATCACAGTGGGCCACAAGGCCCTGGCCTCTCCCCCTCTGTCCCTCTGCTCCAGCCACTCTGGCCTCTTTATTGTTCCTCAAATATGCTAAGTACATTCCCGCCCCAGGGCCTTTGCACTTGTTGTTCTTGGTGCATATTTGCATGATTTGTTTCCTCCTCACCTCCTCCAGGTCTTCGTTGAAATGTCACCTCCTCTGACCCTCCTATTTAAAATTGTAACATCTGCTTTCTCTCTCCCACACATACATTTCCTATCTTCTGTTTCTGCCCTTTCTCTCTGCTAGCACTTGTCACCATCTGACGTACTATATTTTTTATTTTATTATCTGTTCCTCCTCACTAGAATGAAAGCCTCAAGAGGGCAGGAATTTTTGTCTGTTTTGTTGAATGAATGAATGAACGAACAAATGACAGTTTCCAAATGTCAGAAACCTCTGCAGCCTGCTGGGAGTGAGGGTGGTCGAGTGATCCAGCAGGTACAAGACCTGGGGTTCCAGGCCCAGTTCTGCCCTGGTTTGCTGTGTGATCTTGGGCAGGTCCCTTCCCCTCTCTGAACCTTTCCCAAGTATGATAAGGAGAGCAGTGTGGCAAAGTATAGGGAACACTGGCCCTGGAGGCAGACAGACAGGGGGTCAAATCACCCCTGGGACATTTACTGCCGATGGGGCCTTGGGCAAGTCACACCTCCTTGAGTTTGTCTCCCCCTGTGAGGTGGGACGGGGTTGGAGGGACACATGAGATGCTGTGTGGTGAGTCCCTAGCACAGCTGCTGGCACAGTTTGTTCAGGGAATGAGTGTTTACTGTTTTAAAGTACCCAAAGTGCTCACCCGGCACTGGACAGACTGGACCTGCATTGAAGCGGATGGAGCCGTAGAATCACCCTGCCCCGAGGGCTTGTCCCCAGCCTCCCCTGGGCCCAGGCTGGCCGAGGTCGCCCTCTCTGGGGCTGCTTCCTCAGGCCCTGGCCCAGGCCGGGCTTTTTCTCCCGGGCACTTGGCTGCCAGCTGAGTGGTGGGGGCAGGCAGGCTTGGCCCCAGGGACCCCGCGCTGCCCTCAGCTCCCCTCTCCCTGCACAGTGTTCATCTGCAGCTTCATGGTGGCTGCCCCCATCTTCGGCTACCTGGGCGACCGCTTCAACAGGAAAGTCATCCTCAGCTGTGGCATTTTCTTCTGGTCGGCCGTCACGTTCTCCAGCTCCTTCATCCCCCAGCAGGTGAGGCCTGCCCTGTTTCCGGCCCAGCATCCCTAAACGTCCCGTCTGCGAGGCCTGGTTCCTCCAGTGGGTGGCTAACCTGACTGACCTACCCCTGTTGAGATTGGGTGTTCCAGCCCCTTTGCCTGAACCCTAGACAGTGTCTTCCAAATGCAGTGGGAGGAGGGGGTCTTTGCGTACGTTTATAAACTGGCCCTGCAGACAGGGCCTTCCCTGTGCTGGCCTGATCGGAGGGATTCACAGCCCCACGTGGCATCGTGACTGTTTCTGAGCTGCCTCTGATTTGGGGAGGATGCAAGGAACAGGGGGAGCAAGTCTGCCAAGGAGTCAGGACCCTTGGGTTCTAGTCCTGGCTCTGCCTTCATCTTGCTGTGTGACCCTAGGTAAGTCACTACTCTTCCCTGGGCCTCACACAGTTTGCTCTTTGTCTGACGACCTGCTAACTCCTTGGGTCAGAGTCCTAGGGAGGCAAGCATCAGTTCCACATGAGGAAGATATTTCTTACTCTGCTCCCACAGTTCTGGGTTTGAATATCCCAACTCTGTTGCCCACTTCGCTTTGTGATCTGGAGAAACTTACTTAACCTCTCTGAAACTCAGTTTCCTCATCTTTAATATGAGGATAATGCTTCTCAGCTTGAAGGTTTGTTGTGAGAAATAACAGAGCTAATGAAAGCCCAGACCCTGGAACCTGGCAGGTATTCAACAAATCATTATTTCTGTTCTTTCTTCCAAAGAGGAGATATGTTGCTTTGTGAGGTAGTGAGTTTCCCATCGATAGGGGTATTCAAGCAGAGGAAAGAAAACCACATGATGGCAACTGTAAAGGGAAATAGAGGAAGAAGGAGAGAAGACTAGGATCTGTCCTCAAGGAGCTTTCAGCCTAGGGGACAGCAGAGGAGACCCCAGCCCTGTCCTTGGGAGTACCCAGGCTGGGGGTGGGAAGATGTGACAGGAGCTCCCACGCTCAGAGCCTTCAAGATGTGCAAAGTGCTGAAAGTCCTCGCTGAAGAGAGCAGTTTCAAAACTCATGTGGTCAGGGAAGGCTTCCTGGAGGAGGTAGCATTCGAGCTGAGCAGGCAGGGCAGAGAGATTAGGCCTTTTGGTGAAGATAGGATGGGCACAGGGAGCACACTCATGGGAGTGTGTCGAGAGAAGGAGGAGGAGAGGGTTTTGGCTGGAAAGGAAGGCGGGGACCAGGTCGTGGAGAGCCTCGAATGCCGGGTTGGGGGGCCTGGGCTTCCTCTGAGAGCAGTGCTGGACCCTGAAAGAGTCTGAAGAAGGGCAATGGTGGGTCAGATTTACACTGATCGAGAGGAGGTTGGAGGCAAGGGCAGAGAGAATCGGCAGGTTTGGGGGGATGACTTTGCGTCCTGGGGCAGCTTCACGGAGGAGGGTCAGACCCAGGTGAGCTCCAGGCCCAGAGTGTCAGGTAGAGTCTGATGGCCACAGTCAAAAACGGGGCCTGGACCAGAAGCCTCTAGGGCCCCTTGTCCTGCCCCTGGCCAGACCCCTGGTCATCCAACCTCTGCGGCTGCCTCTGGGATTGACCAGTGAGGCCAGGACCACGATGCCAGGGCTGGGCCCCGCTCTGGGTACGTGGAAGGGAGGGGGGGGTGGGGAGAGAAGATGAGCGGAGGCAGGGAGAGAAACAGACAGATCACCTCCAATTAATTTATAAATTCATTGCAATCACAATCCGAGTCTCATGGGGGTTTTTCACGGACCTTGGCAATGTGATTCTGAAGCTAATTTGGCAGAGAAAATGCCCAGGAACAGCCAAGAACATTGTGAAAAATAACAGTGAAAGGGAACTTGCAGTATCAGTTATCACAATCTGGCTATTCTAACTAAAACCAAGAGATCAATGAAGCAGAGTCCTCCTTTCCATGGGAACCGAGTGTGGGGTGAAAGCTGCATCTCAGATAAATGGTTTTGGAAGTGACTATCCATCTGAATTGAAAATAAAGTTTAGTCTGTATTTCAAACCATACTTCAAAATAAATTCCAGATAGGTGAAAGGAAAGTAAAAAGCAAACTGTGAAAATCTAGAACTATACATCAACAAGAAAAAGACAAATAAGACAATCCAGTAGAAAAATGGGCAAATTATAGTGACAAGCAATTCCAGGAGAAGATACCCAAGTGGGCGATATAAACGCAGGGAGAGACGGTGCTCGCCTCTCGAGTAATCAGTGACATGCAAATTAAAACAACAATGAGGTACCATTTCACACCCATCAGATTGGCAACAATTAAGGCTGACAATACCAAGTGTTATTAAAGCTGCTGGTGGGGGTGTAAATTGGTAGAGCCTCTTTGGAGAGCAAAATGGCAGGATTTTGTAAAACTCTGTGCACATCCCACAACCCAGCCTTGTGCTTCGAGGTATGTACCCAAGAGAGAAACTCCAACTCGTGGACACGAAGTGACATGTGCATGCAAGGGTGTCTGTTGCAGAATTGTGATAGAAACAAAGAGAAGCAATCTAAATGAACATGACCGGATGCCCAGACCAAATGGGGTGTCTTCACACTATGAGATTCTTGACAGCAAAAGAATGAACTAGATCTATATTAACCAGCATAAATGGGTTTCCAAAAGATAAGAATGAGGGAAAACAGGAAGAATGCAGGATCAGATGCATGGAATGGTCCTTTTTTATTTTTTATTTTATTTTTTAACAGCACACAGAAGATGCTAAATGTTGTTCACTGGTACGTGTATGTATATTCACACATGGTACATGTATGCAAGGGTAGAGATGGATTCACACAAAAGCGCGATATGGCGGGTTCCTGGGGGAGGAGGAGGGATCAACAGGATCCCCATCAAAGAGCTCTTACCTGCTTGCTCTTCTGAGAAGGAGGATTGAGGAAATCGCTCCCATTCTCTTTCTCTCTCTCAAATATAACAACCATAAAATATTAGAGAATATTTTTATCATTTGGGGATGGAGTAGCCTTCCTGAGCAAGATATGAAATCCAGAAGCCATTAAGGGAAAATCAACAGATTGGACAGCATCAAATTAAACAACATAGAATAAAGCTTCCGTATAGTGAACCCCCCCCATAAACAAAGCAGAAAGAAAGATGACAGAAAATATTTGTGATGTTTATAATAAAGGATCAATTCCCATGATACATAAAAAACTAACAGAATCAATACAAGAAAGACAAACAACCCAACAGCAAAATAGGCAAAGGCTATGGGCAGATGATTCCCAGGAAAAGAAGCAGAGGCAAGGAGCCAGGGGAAGACCCGGAGAGGGAGAGAGGGAGAGAGGGAACGAGCCTCAGAAATGGGAGGTGCAGAGATGGACAGGCAGAGCCTGCAATGTAGAGAGAGGGCCAGGAAAGAGATGGGCAGAGGGAGAGAGGAAAACAGGGAGACCCGGAGGAGGGCTGCATGTGGGCGATGCTGGCCGGATGGGTGGTCAGGGTGGGGCCGGGGAAAGATGACCAGGCTGGGTTCTCAGGCCCTTGGCAGCTAGGGGGATGGAGGGGCCGGGTCCACATCAAAGGGGTAGTACCACTGGCAGCTGGCACGGCCCCACCCTTCCCGGCTCAGCTGGGCTTTGCTCTTTGATGTGTGTGGGGGAGGGGGCGCTGAGCCCACTGGGCTGCCCGGCCCACTCTCCACTCACAGTGGGTCCTCAGTGCTACCAGGGTCAGCCCAGCTGCCCCGCCTAGGGGTGGGACACAGAGTGGGGGGTGACTTGAGGCCCCCAAGCTGGGGCCAGAACTCAGGGAGGAGGTCTCTCAACTGGGGGGAGGCAGTGGAGACACAGGCTTATGTCCTACATGCGCATGGGGACAGAGGGGGGACTGTCTGGGCCATACTTACAACTCTCAACCTGTGAAAGTCCAGTCCCATCCCAGCACTGGGCCAACCAGACCCAGTCAAAACCACTATCCAGAGGGGGAAACCGAGGCCCAGAGTGGCCTGGGGGTGTAGTCTTTGCTGAGGCAGGGGTTGGGCTTCATCCTCTCCCCTGGCTCCTGGACCCTGCAGGGGGTGGGGAGCAAACTGGGGACCAAGGACAAGCAGGCAGAAGAGCAGGACAGTCCCCCAGCTTTCTCTGCCCCTCCCCACAGCACTTCTGGCTGCTGGTCCTGTCCCGGGGGCTGGTGGGCATCGGTGAGGCCAGCTACTCCACCATCGCACCCACCATCATCGGCGACCTCTTCACCAAGAACACGCGCACGCTCATGCTGTCTGTCTTCTACTTTGCCATCCCGCTGGGCAGGTGAGGATCCGGGCAAGGTCTCCTCGGACTTCCCACCACTCCCTCTCCCTGAGATTCGGCCTTCTGTGACCTAAGCTTGTGGCGGTCAGCCTTGGAGAAACGCCTGGATCAGTTCCCTGGGTGGCTGGGTGGTGGTCGCGGGCAGCCAGCCTGTCTCATAGACTAGTGGGCATACTCCACCCCCGGCCCGTCCCCCCTGACTGTGCCATCTTCTCTGCAGTGGCCTGGGCTACATTACTGGCTCCAGCGTGAAGCAGGCGGCTGGAGACTGGCACTGGGCCTTGCGGGTAAGGACACTCCAGACCAGTCCTTGCCCAGGGTCACCCAGAGATTCAGGGACAGAGCCCAGGCTACGATGCAGGCCTCAGCCTCCAGGTTTCCACCTTTTGGGCCTGGGCTCTTCTAGATTAGTCCACATTGAGGTGTCGGGGGCCCAGGTGTGAGGGGAGCCAGACTCAGCCCCACCACCCTGAGGGCTCCCAGTCTGAGAGGACGGACTCTCCCACCATGTCAGGAAATTCCAGGTCCACGATGGCACTTCCTGCTTCGAGCCCTGGCACTGTGCTCGGGTGAGACTGAGATCAGACCTCTGTGTGCGGGCCCCCGGGTCTGGAGCCACTTCCTGTCCCGCGGGAGGATTTGGGGCAAGTCTGCCAAGACCCCAGGACAGTGCAATCAGAGGAAACAGAGATCCCCCGTCTCCCGGAGGAGAGGAAGCTTAAGACAAAGTGTTTTTTCCTCAAAAGCAGGAAGGAAGCAGCCTCCGTGGAATTTCTTGATGGGGGTGAATGGAGAGGAACTCTCCAGCTCATGGGCTCCCAGGCCTGGTGGGGGTGGGGACAGACCTCCCTGTTCTCATGAGCCGGGGGAGGAGCTGGTAGATCAGAATCCAGGCTGCCAAGATGTCCTTCTCCCGTCTGGAGAGTCTGTTCTCGACATGGGGCTGGACACAGGGAAGACCCAAAGGGGGCCCGAGCCTCTGTTCTCCTGGGGCCCACATTGGCCCCTCCCAAATGATACCCTATCTAATATATTAGCTGGAAGATTCATGTCCCTTCCCAGCACCCCCCAGGGTGAGGACCCCACCTGGGGAACTTTCCCAGATCTAGGGATGTGAGCAGGGCTGATATCTGGCTCCCTGTCCCCAGGAACTCTCTCTCCTCCTCTCCTAGTCATCATTCCATGTCTGTCCATCTATCTGTCTTTCCATCCACCCATCATCCATCCACCCACCCACCCATCCACCCATCCATCCATCCATCCATCCATCCATCCATCCATCCATCCGTCCTTACATCCATCTGTCCATCTCTCTGTCCATCTATCCAGCCATCTGTCCTCCCTCCTCCGTCCATCTGACCATCCATCCCTCCCTTCTGTCTACAGTCCCCCCTCCCATCTTGCCCCTGGTCTGGACAGTCCATTTTGAGTTCCTAAGCCTTTTTTTGCTGACCTCATCTCCAGTAGCTTTGCTCAGCAGCCCAGTCAGGCAGGCTGGGCAGATACTGCCCCAGAGGAGGAACTCGGAGCCCAGAGAAGGTGTGGCTTGCCTATGCCCCTCTCCTGGTGCAGCAGAGACAAAGCCGACTGGGCCCTGGTGTCCTAACTTGGTGCTCCTTGCCTTGCCAGGTGTCCCCCATCCTGGGCATGATCACAGGAACACTCATCCTCGTCCTGGTCCCGGCCACTAAGAGAGGCCATGCCGACCAGCTCGGGGGGCAGCTCAAGGCACGGACCTCATGGCTCCGAGACATGAAGGCCCTGATCCGAAAGTGAGTGCTGTGGGGAGGGGTCTGGTAGGAAGAGGGAGGGGTGCTGAGATGAGAGGACCCTCCCACAGGGTGACCCACCCAGCACCCTTGGCCAGACTCCGTGCTGTCTCCGCTGCCATGGGTCACAATGGGAGTGACATTTTGGCTCCTGGTGTTTATTATTCCTGAGGCCTGAGCCCTCACTCCCGGAGCCCAGAAGGAGTGAGGAAGAAAAGGCTGCCTCCTGGGCCCCGCCCCTGCCCGCTGCAGGGGTCCTGGCCCCCGCTCAGTGTTGCTGCCCCGGCCTCTCCCCAGCCGCAGCTACGTCTTCTCCTCCCTGGCCACGGCGGCCGTGTCCTTCGCCACAGGGGCCCTGGGCATGTGGATCCCGCTCTACCTGTACCGCGCCCAAGTTGTGCAGAAGATGGCGGAGACATGCAACAGCCCGCCCTGTGGGGCCAAGGACAGGTGGGGCCCCGCCGGGGGTGGGGTGGGTGGCGAGGGATGCTGGACGGGAGCGCCAGCCCCTCTGCCCCAGCCTCAGCACCCCCAACCCGTGCTCTGCCGGCCTCTGTCCCCACAGCCTCATCTTTGGGGCCATCACCTGCTTTACGGGCTTTCTGGGTGTGGTCACGGGGGCAGGAGCCACGCGCTGGTGCCGCCTGCGGACCCAGCGGGCCGACCCACTGGTGTGTGCTGTGGGCATGCTGGGCTCTGCCATCTTCATCTGCCTTATCTTCGTGGCCGCCAAGAGCAGCATCGTGGGGGCCTATGTGAGTGCAGTGGAGGGTGCAAGGGTGGTGGGGGGCGCCGGGCTGGGCCCAGGCGGCTCTGGAACAGGAAATGCAGTCTGACTTGTGGGGCCCTCCTTCCGCGCGGGAAGGCTCCATTCCTCTGCCTGCTCTGCTTTGTCCAGGGCCTGTCCAGGGCTCTGGGTGTCCTTCAAGGCTGTGGGTCTGGCTTGAAGTCTGTAGATAATCCACAAATTCCTCATGGGCCTGACTGCCAGGAGGTGCAGGCCCCAGGCAGGGGTAGGAGGGTGTGGGGGCTCCCTGCCAGCAGCCAGGGTTCAGGGAGCAGCCTGGAGCCAATGGTGGGTGGAGGACCCCTGATGGTTGCTCTGGTCTCTCCTGGACAGGTCTGTATCTTCGTCGGGGAGACGCTGCTATTTTCTAACTGGGCCATCACTGCGGACATCCTCATGGTGAGTCAGGCCCAGGCTGACCCAGGCCTCTTGGCCTCTTGGGGCAGTTGAGGAGGGTGGGTGAAGAGGTGGAAAAGCTGGCAGGGCTTGTGGGGGTGGATGGGAAGGAAGCCATGCCGGGAAGGTGAGCCTGGAGGCAGGGATGGGATCTGAGGTGTTGGGGTCTGCATCCGGCAGGGCCTGGAATCAGAGGGTTGAGCAGGCGGAAAGGGATGGATGTGGGGACTGGGTGGGGAGGGGGCTGTCTGGAGGCTCAGGTTTGTGGCCGGGAGGCTGGCAGTGCCAGGCTGGCACGGAGGTGGTGCTGCCTGCCAGGGCTCCTCCCCCAGGGTCTGAGCTGCCATGGACTCTGCCCTCTCAGCTCAGCCTGGGTCCCAGGGCGCCTGCCTGAGCGCCTGCGGCTGGAGCTGGGCGGACAGAGGCTGTCTTCACAGGGTCAACAATGGGCTGCAGACCAGCCTGCCAGGGACAAAGGGCCATCTGAGTGCGGCAGGGGCTTGTGTCCCTGGGCAGGGACGGGTGCAGCCTGGGAGGAACTGGGAGGGGGCTGTGGCCCTGGTAACTTCAGCAGTCTCGGAGGAGGGGTGTGGTGGTAGGGGGGTAACACCAGGTCCTGTCCTTGGAGATGCTCCAAAGTCAGGGGCAGGAGAGGATTGGGAGAAGGGAGTGCAGGGGACCCGCGGTGGGGAGAGTGTCTGGGAGCTGCCAGGGCAGGCCCAGGGGCCGGGGAGGAAGGACTCCTCATGGGTCGGTCCTCAGGGCGAGAGGGTTTTGCTGCCACAATACGGGACAGCCAAGGAGATCAGAGTCTGCCTGGCGTTGGGGCCTCTGCTGGCTCCTCTCCTTCGGGAAGCCTGCCTTGCCCCACCCAAGCTTCTCTGCATATCTGTCTCCCCCACCAGTCCCCGGGCTGGGGCAGGTGGGGGGAGGTCTGACTCAGCTCTGTGCTTCAGCATGGAGCGAGGCAGGGTGGGGGGCCCTGCACAGGCCCAGACTGAAGGGAGGGGTGAGTCTGTCTGAATCGAGTGCCCTTGGTGCTGGGCAGGACACCCTCCTCCGCCCCCCCCCAGGGGCAGCCCCAGCTGCTGACATGGTTTAGGTCCCAGGGAAATCATGTCCCATTTTATTAAGTGTCACAGCCAAGTGACTAATTATTGCTGGAAATGGGGCCACACCGTCCCAGCGGATGCAGGTCTCCCCGCCCCGCCCCACAATGGGGTGCCCAGTGGGCACTGGCTGCTCTCGCAGACTGTCCACAGAGGCTGGAGCTCTGACTAGACGAGGCAGCTGGAGCTCGGGGGCATGGGCTGCCCAGGGCCCCATGGAGCTGGCTGCTGCCTGCCCCGCTGCTCCTCTGCTGACCTTAGCCCCCCGCTTTGGAGCTGCAGCCCCTGTGAGTCAGGCCTTCTGGGTCTGATGGGGGGCCCAGCGGCTCCTGGCATTCGGTGCTGGGGGTGCCCCTGGGTAAAGTGGAGGCTCTCCCAGGCAGGGTCCTGCTTCACCCCCCCTGCCCCCCATGCCAGGCCAACCTAGGCAGGTCCTTGTGGAGGGGGAACCGAGATGGGTCTTTAGCAGTGAGATGAGGGCGAGAGACCCTCGGGGTTCTGGTCCCAGCGCTGCCTGACTCCCTGTGTGATTCCTGGGGAATGTGTGCCTCTGGGCCTCAGTTTCCCACGACCACTGCGCTTGGCTCCCCACCAAGAGCCAAGTGCAGCACGTATGGCATCTGGTCTCACGAGCTGGAGGGCAGAGGGCCTGGCTGGAGGAGGGGGTGGGAGGAGGGGAGGACCCAGGAGGGTGAGGGATCAAGACACCAGGGTGGAGAGAGTCCGAGGGTGTGGGGGCTTCAGGAGGGTCATGTCCCGAGGGATGAGGCCAGGTAGGTGTGCCTGGCTTCTGTGGCCTCTGACCTCCCGCCTCTTCGGCAGTATGTGGTCATTCCCACGAGACGGGCCACCGCGGTGGCCCTGCAGAGCTTCACCTCCCACCTGCTGGGGGACGCCGGAAGCCCCTACCTCATCGGCTTTGTGAGTAGCCTGGGGGCAGGAGGGGCTGAGGTGGGTGATGGGCTTCAGGAGCTGGCCCTGCCCTGATGTCCGCCCCCAATCCTCGCAGATCTCCGACCTGATCCGCCAGAGTACCAAGGACTCCCCGCTCTGGGAGTTCCTGAGTCTGGGCTACGCCCTCATGCTCTGCCCCTTCGTTGTGGTCCTGGGTGGGATGTTCTTCCTCGCCACTGCTCTCTTCTTCCTCAGCGACCAGGCCAAGGCTGAGCAGCAGTGAGTGGGGGTGGGGTGGGCCTGCCCCGCGGCTGTGACAGCCTCCGCCTGGGGTGGTTGGAGGGTGAAGTGGGTGGGTCACTTGGCCCAAGGGGTCCCTGCCCGGCCCCCAAACCTTCCCATCTTTGTGACGCTGCCTCCAGCTCACAAGTCTCCGTCACACACCCAGCATTGGCCTGGGTGCTGCGGGAGCCCTCGGTGGCCTGGGCTGTTCATGGTGGTTCTAGACCTGGGTTTTTCTCGGCAGTTAATGGTTTTCAGAGCGGGGACCCCCTCCCCTTCCTTGTCTTCTCATTTTCTGACTTCTTTCTCCTCTCCTCTTTACTCCTCTTTCTCTCTCTCCTCTCCCTACCCCTGGGCTCTCCCACTTCCCCCTGGGGCTGACGAGGTCCCTGCCCAGCACGTCCGGTCAGCCAGCCCCCGTGATGCGATGTGCCAGAGCAGTGCCCGGGCCCGGCCCTCGCTGATCCGCCACCTTGACCTCCGCCCGTCTCTCCCCCAGGGTGAACCAGCTGGTGATGCCGCCCGCATCAGTGAAAGTCTGAGGCAGTGAGTGCAGCCCACAGGGCTGGGGGGGGGACTCCTTGTGGGAGGGAAGGGGTGGGGGTGGGGGAGAGGGAACACTGGGCACAGGACTTGGGGGATGTTCTGGAAGCAGGAGCGGCATCTCATGAGTCACCTCCTGCCTGAGCACATCCCACCAACCCTGGATTTGGTCCTCTTCCTCCTGAAATGTTGCCCAATTGACTGGTGGATCCATGGGAGGGGGCAGGCTCCCTCTTCCAGTAAATCAGCTCCCCCTTCCTTCCTCAGAAGGGCTGGGGGCATAGGTCAGGGCTGGGGCTGGCCAGGAACTCCCTGCTGTCCTGATTCTGTCCTCCCAAATCCTCCTAGAGGGGCCGGGGCCCAACTCCTTTGCCCTTCCTCTAGGCCTGGCCTCTGGGGGCTGCGGCTTCCCAGCAGTGCAAGACCCAAGGTCACTGCCCCCACGCCTGGCTCCAGCAGACCCACACCCCTTTCATGCCCCCAGAGTCCAGAGAGAGGCCTATTTCTCCAAACAGCAAGGAAAATAGAGAGGAGGGAAGCTGGAACGGCCCCTCCCAAAGGCCCGCCTCTGACCTCTAACCCCCCTCCCTCCAGGTGCCGCTGGGACAATGACGAACCCTTGCTCCCACCTAGTCTGGGAGGGGTCCTCCGGCATCCTGGCCCTGCTGGGCTGTTCCAAAGCTTTCTGTGTGACCCACGGCTGGCCACCGACCCTCCCTGGTCTGGGACTGCTGAGTGGCTGTGGCTCCATGAAGAGGCCATGTCCTCAACTAACCTGGAAGGCTGTGTGTGCTGGCACCACGTGGTTGGACAGACTCCCAGTCCTGTGTTTGGGCTGCAGGGCCCCAGGGGCCCAGGGAGAAGACAGCCCCTAGTGGGTGTGTGGGGAGAGCCTGGCCTGACACCGGCTTATGTGATCCTGGGCAAGTCCCTGCCCTCCCCGGACCGTGGGGCCAGGGGGCTGGACTTTACCACGCAGCTTGCCGGGCACGGCACTGTCCACAGCTTAGAAGACCCACCCGCTCCTGGACCACACGGAGAAGAGGTGGCCCAGGCCTCAGAGTGGCGCTTCAGGCTCTGAGGCTCCCTGAAAGGCCTGGTGTGTGGTGACCACGGCTTTCTGACTGGGCCTCTGACCTCGAGGACGTTGGACTCAACCTGGCAGAGCCAGGCACCCAAGTCGCTGGGCACATCCCAGCCTGGCTGGTCACTCTGGAGGACACTTGTCTCCACTGCCTTGGGCTGGCTCTCAGCCTGGACGTCTCCCACGTGGGGACCATCCACAGACAGGGAGCTGGCATCACCAGGGGTGAAGGCCCTGGTGGCAGCTCTATACCACCTGTGCCCCAGGCTCGAGATCTTTGGGGGTTGTCCACTCCTACAGGGCTCCTTGCAGCCTCTGCAGCATCTCCTGTCCATCTCCTCTCTGACCCCCAACAGAAGCCAGAACCAACTCTGGCCCCCAGGCTGGGCCCTTTCCAGGAGTGGAGCCCAGGGGACTATTCCCAGAATCCACGGGGCAGTAGCCAGGGCTCTGGCTGCCAGAGGAAGCAGCCATCCACCAAGGTTCCTGTCCCAGGGAGTAGCCCGGTGGAGGTTGAAACCCACCGGGAGAGGCCAACACCCTAGAGCCACCTCCACCCAAATGCCGGCTGCTGCTGCTCTCACGCACATTTCCACAAAGCCCACTATTCCCCCCAACCTCTGTCCACCCCATCCTCATCGCCACACACCAGAGTACAGCTGCCAACTTCACACTACACCCGTCCCCTGGTGGACTTGTCATAGCCTCCGTGCTCCACTCCTGCCCTGCACATTTGCTGGAATCAAGGTGGTTCTGGTCTGGGGGCCCCTTGTGGGCAGCAGGAAACCCTAAGAGCCAGCTTAGACAATGCTTTGTCCCATAGTTACTGGCTGGTGTGGCTTCAGTGGTGTGTAAGCTAGTGGAATACCCACTCCCCACCAAGCTCTGGGGCACCCTGGGGGCCTGACAAGGGGGTGGGCTGGGGGAGGTGTCCCCCAAAGACCAGCCTCGCCTCCACTCCCACCCCAGCCTCAACTGGGGCCCCAGCAATGTTTTCTTGTTGTACAAGAACCAGGTCCAAGTGTTGCCTCCTCTTCCTTCCGGAAGCCAAACTGCTCCTTTATTTTTTAGAGCTGCTGATTGTGAATCTCAGAGTCTTAAGAGAGAAGCCAAATATATTCCTCTTGTAAATGAAGAAATAAACCTATTTAAATCATGCCCTGGTGGCTCCTGCAGCAAAGCAGCCCAGGGGTGGGGGGACAGGAGGAGCAGTCACACCTGTGCCCAGCCAGCATGGGCGACCTCTCTGAACACCAGAGCCCTGGCCCTGGCCCACACTGCCGGGGAGCCCAAGTCCCAGCCCCATATAGGTCAAGTGTGTTCTGGGCTGAGAAACAGGCCGGCCAGAGAGTAGAGGCAAGGCCCAGCCCAGGGCCAGGGGTCTCTGCTCCCCCTGGGACCAGTGGAAAAGGACTCAGGCTGTGCTTCCTGCAGCAGGACCTCCCGGCAGGCTGGCAGCACCCACTCCCCCCAGTGCCAGAAGATAGTAGCTCACACAGTGGCTTGTTTATTAAAATCATGGTGAAAAAATAGGAGTCTTCAGGGCTGATGGGGGAGGGGCCGAGGGGCAGGGCCTGCATTCAGGGCTTTCTCCCCTTCCTCAGCTGCACTTTCTTTTTCTTGGCCCCACTCTGGAGGAGGCTGGGGCTCCTGTTGGCCAAAGACAATCTCGCCTTTTTCCGGGGCAGCGCAGACTGTGGCGATTTGCCTGAGATGCTCTTTTTGGGCAGACTTTTCTGATGCTGCTTTATGCCAGCAGGCTCCGTGGGGGGCACGGGAGTGGCTCCATTCACCTGGGACAGCTTCCGCTTTTTTTTCTGCAGCTTTGGGGTCTTGGCAGGGGTGCTGGG